TTACTTACTTACTACTACCTACCTACCCTCCCTCCTCCTCTCTCTCTCTCTCTCTCTCTCTCTCTCTCTCTCTCTCTCTCTCTCTGTCCAATAATACTTTCAGAATACACCGACAAAATAAATTATGTCGCATCCATTTCTTATGTAAGACATGCATGATGCATTAAATTAATAAAAACACTTTATTGTGTAACTTATTCGTGCAGAGAATTATACTTTTATATAGAATGTCAGAAAAAATTGTGAATTTTAGATTTATGTGTCGTTGAATGCGGTCAGGTATCGTTGCCAGCATTAATGTTTACAGACACGGCTTAAGATGGAACGCGCGAGGCCAAGTCGCAAACAATCATCTAAAATTATACTGGATCACCATCTCTGGATAGACGAGCAGCGCTACACTAATTTCGTAACACATTGTATTTGCATCTACGATGATCTGCAATTCAAAGTTCTGACTGCAATCAAATCTTTTGGTTTTTCAACGAAAGAAAGGAGTTATTTTACTAATGTGTATATATGTTTTTTTATTTTATTTAGAATTGTCGACTTCTGCGAATAATATTAAAATAGTATTAAATTATATTGGCGATGCTTACGCATGTTTTCTGCAACGCTAAAAATAAGCCGTAATAAATCGTTGTTTTATTCAAATAAGAACAAAGAAAGAAAGAAAATATATATGTAAAATTTGTCCTTAAATACAAAAAAAAGAAAATGCAATACTTACATGTGCCTTCGCCATAAGTATCCACCCGCCAACAATAACCTGGATTAACCAGCTTCCGAGAAGCTGTAGCCGGATATTTCCACCGCAATGGTTTGCTACTCAGTGCTTCGTGATCAGATTTTGCTCGATTGGTTTCGATATTCACTGGACTTTGCCTGGAACCGGCTGCCATAGGAAATTTCGTTACCCATGTGCTCGGTCCTATAAAACAAAAAAGTCAAATTAGCATCCATTTCTTATTTACACAACACACAAAAAATTAGCGTTTGCAAATTTGATGAATTCGGACAGTTCAAATGTCGAGTTCAAATAATTCGGACGCGTTGAGCTGAAGGACCAGCTCGAACAGATTTAACTGCTTGAATCCAAAAAAATGAGCATCGAGTTCGGATACTTTGCACAGTTTGAACTGTCCGAATATCTCAACGTGGACAACGCAATATTAATTTTATTAATTTGTGTAAAATTAAAAAAAAATCTTCTTTACTATCCAAACTCTCTAAATCAATGAACGTTACAAACTTACATTAATAGATCAATAATTTCTTACGTTTGAACTGTTCGATCTGTCTTAAATGTCTAAACTCAATGCTCATTTTTTTATATTTGAACAGTTCAAACATACAAAAAGTTCGAATTTTTTGTCTGAGGCCTACTAAAAATAAAGACATAATCAAAAAGTTATGATTGCAAATAATCGCGATAATTATCGCGAATCTAACACAATGATAATCAACGGAAATAAATCAGACAATATAAAATTGTTTATCTGTTTCCTCTGTTTACAATTGATCTGTGAATACGATCTCGCACTAAGAATGAGAGATATGCGCCAAGTTCACGACAACAAGATAATACTGTTTGCAAGTAAATAAATCTGAATCAAATTCAGATCTAAGAAAGCTTGCACGCAAATTTTTAAGCGCGAAACAAACTTTTTATCACGATATATATCACATGCTGATAATTGATTGTAGTTTGTTTTTATCAAAATTTCTTTTGTCGTTTTCTCGATTTTTTAAAATGTTTTTTACTTAATCCGTACAAACACAAAAATGTGACAGAAGCTTCTGCTTCTGAATATTTGCTGATTAGCAATGTATGACTTAAAGCGATAAATAACTTAAAAATAATTTATGCCAACTGCATGTGAATGTTGAATCAAGTTTATATAATTCATTATATCTGTTTTTATAGCAGCTGTTTTTATATAAACTTGTGGATATCAATTAAAAAATTAATTGAGATAAACATCTGCAAATATTCGGGCTTCGAATAACAATTTCGACAACAAGCAAAAATTCTCAAATTATTTAATAGCTACAAAAAAATATTTGTTCATATTTTTGTGCACTTACATAACAAATAAATCATTCATAAAAAAATTGATTTAAAAACATTTTAAAAACATTCAAGGACTTTTTTTATTTGTTACAATTTAGCAATAAATTTTATTTTTATTGCAACCATGTAAAATAATTTGCGTTATAAGTTATAAAGTTAAATAATGTTGTAAAGTTATTGTACATAAGAAAAACCTTTTTTTTCTTACTTTCGGTATATTAGTAAATCTATTTAAAATATTTCAAGGAAATTATAATTTTTAAACATTAATTGCATTTATAAAAAAATTACTCTTATTATCGAATTGTAACGGTGAAAAATGAAAAATGATACTATTCTAATATTTTATTGCGAAATTTTAAGTATAATACACATCAAAATACGTGTTAGAGTAATGTATACAAAACTAAAAAGAACTAGCACATATTCATTGTTATGGAAATATAAATGAAAATAATATTTTATTTCATAATTTTAAATACGTAGCCATATGGCTACAATGGGGACGAAAGGATTAAGCACATCATCTCTGATAATCCTATGTTTTCGTTATCAGCGACGTATATCACGTGCCGTCGCATTAATCTTTCTTTATCAGAACATGTGATAATGACGTTATTAGCTATGTAATTAGACATCGAATGCAAGTTGTTTCTTCTAGCATGCAAAAGATGCTACAAAAAAATGCTACGAAGTTGTATTACGTGAATTAAACAGACGTCGATTTGCGTCGATCAATTAATGCAAAAACGAGGCCTTTGCTTTGTTTGAACCATCATCAACTTTCACGAGTATTCAACTCTGAAATTACACGTGACAGTGACATAACATTAACGTGCTCGTACACTTAGCACACGTAACACGCGTTACTTGACTCGCTCACTCCTTTCCTTATCTCTTTACCGAATAACTCGGAGTTACGATCAATTGATTGCTGCGAGACTTCAATTACGCAGAATTAAATTAATTTCTGTAATTCTTTTTATTATATTACATATGATATACGACCAGACACACAGTTATATTTTGAGATAAAGAAATTAATTATGCGTGTGAATTAAGTTATCCCAAATCTAGTCATCTAGTTTATCGAAAACATTATAAAGTAAAGAATGCGAAGAAAGAGTAAATCAATGTTATTATACATTTCTATAAATAGTTCTATAATAGTATAATAAATTATTGTTATATAATAAAAATTTTTACAGCTGTATTTTAGCAGACACAGGATTTGCATAATCGTCCGTAAAATTGAAAGCATAAGACTTGACAAAGGGAAACGAATTAATCATTCGTAAAGCATGACACAACGTAATAAGTTCGTTTATGACATTGAGACAGATATCACGTGAATTCCTATTGAAGGATAGTTGCGGTAGAGTAATAATAAAAGCGTATAACAGTAGCCGCTTTCTTATCCGGTTCAAACCGGAAAGTGCCGATAACGGTATACGAAAAAACATGACTTTTATATTTACTAGACAACTGAAGAGATGGTTATCAGCGGATAATATTTAAACATTTTGTTCTTGATATTTCTCTTTTTAACAATAAATAAGAAAATAATAAAGTGCCCAAAATATCCTTTCTAAATTCAAGAAAAAATTAATTAGGTTATCTAATATTTTAACTATTATCAAAATCGCAGTTATCCAGCATTGATAGCAATAATTTTTGGCAATTTTACGAAATTAAAAAATTTGTTTTTTACAAATTTATGACTTTTTATTTTTTTAAATCACAAGATGGTTAGAGAGAATGATTTCGAGAGAAACAAAGAAAAATTTATCATAATTAAAAATGTTTGATTGTAAATTAGCGTAATTTTTTCTTGTGTACTATTGTTGTTTTTTATTTTTTTGAAGTAGTATTACGATTATAAATTAGCTTTACATTTCAAACAGTGGGTCGAGACAGATTCTTGGTTTCTTATGACATCTATCCAAGTTTAACTATAGTAATTCATGGTCACGGTATAAAAAAATAAATGGAAAATTCCAGTATGTCAAAATAATGTCATTGAAAGATCACAACGAACGATATTATCAGTTAACTGAAATCCTTGTCATTCTTTCGGTCTTGCAACAGAGTAGATAGTAAGATAGAAGTAAGACACTCGACACTCGTTTGAAGGTTCGTTCAACCTTGTAACGTGATGATTCAATGAATCTGAGAAAATATTATAAAGTCAAGAACCAGAAAGCACTGATGTAAATGTATGTATTAATAAAAATTTCTTTTTCTCAACTTTTTACAATTATAAAGTTTAATATATTTTTTCCGTATATATTTTTGTTTTTTTTTTGTATAGGTTATTAATAAATTATTATTTGTGTTATTTAGAGATAATCAATATTATATAAGAGAGAAAAGAGAAGAAAAAACATCGTTATCAGAAATTTGATATTTGTTATGTTACGTTCAAGATGTTACGCATTCAATAATAGAACGACGTCACGTTTTATTACATGTTGTCGTTATTAATCTGCAATTCGTCGACACATGCAATATATACTTATTGTTAGATATCTCTATCACAAAATTATTACATTATGTTTTATTTATATCCGCTGATGTATCTTAATGCACTCTGTTTTGTTCGCGCAATATTCATGTATCGGAGATTAAAAACTAGTAAGTCAATCTTTCCCTTTCTTTTCTTAAATAAAAATTTATGAGACTAGTAAAACATCCTATATATTAATATATTTTAAAATATAAAATTAAATATAAATATACAAGTATAGCGAGAGTATAAATATTTAATCCAAGAAGAGGAAGAGAAGAATCATGCCACTGGAATTAACAATTACAATGTCTAAATAAGTCACGCGCGCGTATAGGTTTCACCTGTGTACATAATAATCGTACACCTAGAATGGCAACAGCAGCCATCGGCCGACATACAATTTGCAAGTTAATCATCGCGGCCGGAGATGCGATTGACCGCGCGAGGATTTCTCCATCCCGATTCACCGATTGTCGACTGAAACTTTCTTTTTCTCCGGATTTGCCAATGTACCCACACACTCGATGTAGTATTTACAGCGTAACGGTATGAAAGATACAGGTACCGACATTCGTAATTTACGATTCGATACGAACAATACAACACGATGTGAAATATTACGTTCCGCTTAATATCTGTAACAAATCCTGCACATTTTTCGCACAAAGAGCGAAAGATGTTCCGTGGGCGAAAGCTTATAAATAAAATAAGATCCCAACGAGATTGCGTCTTTTTCTCACTTGATTTGGTCTATAAAAATTGCAGATCGCGTTCATAGGCGTTAACACCTCGCGTATCCCAGATAAAATAGTTTTCTTCTTCTTCTAACGTAACAAAAATATTTTATATTTTTACTTTAGATGTGAAATGAATTCGATTGAAATTATATTTGCCTCCGTGACAACCTAAATTAATAGGAGGCATTAAAGAGACAACGTATAGTGTACAAGTATATAAACACGAATAGAAATCGAAGACCTTTGTATACACCAGCAAGATAGCTTTTGTTAATTATTTAACGATCTTTTATTTCCAGAAAAAGCCACCTCTACTCCAACTTTATTAATATTCTGATATACCATCTTTGTAATTAATGTAAATTACGAAATCTCTTCAAGACAGCTATTTATTTAGGTATTATTAGGATGTATATAGGATACAATAAGATATTCGTACATCATTCACAATTACAAGTTAATTAAAGAAGATAGAATATCTATCTTCTTCGTGCAAGCACGCGCGATCAGAATCGACGTTCCGGTACTCGTTAGAGTAAACGGGTGGAATACGTAAATACGAGGATCGCCGTTACATGATTTCGTGCATCAGAACATTGGCCTCGATTATTTTGAATTCAAGTTAATCGAAATGAAAATATTTCTATTCACACCGCATCAACATTTTATGAAAATGTTAAGATTATTAAAAAATTCTATTTTACAGACGTGGACAATTATCAAGTCGATAATTGCATAGTCGACCGGATTGTTCCAGATTCGTTGATCTGCAAACAGCAGGCAAGATAAATCCTCGGAAAACAATCTGCACGGATGCGGCAACTCACAATTACGTGCAAAGCGTCGTGGGAACAACGGATTTTACCAAATAATTTATGACGGCCGAATACATCGATCAACTTCAGGCAACGAATCTTCCACAGTCGCGGCCAAGCCACGGCGCGCGTTTAGAAGCGCCAAATGGCTTAATCATCCCTCTACGAGGGTCTCGTCTGTGTCTCCCGTCTTGGCAGCGATTCCCTCGCGCGAGATGTATGCAAATCACGATACTTGCGCGCAAGTTGCCGGTTTGCAATCAGTTGAAAGATAGCGCTGACAAATTGACTCGAGATTAAGGGCGTTTCGGGGGCATGCACGGCAACTCAACGGCGGTGGAACAAAGTAAAACTGGGTCTGCGACCCTCGGCTTTCGTGTGCGTGTTGCTGCACGTACACATGGTCGTTTGACGTACGTGTGTGTATGTGTGCGGAGGGTGGGGGAAAGCCCGTTCATGTGTTCGTACGCGCCTGTACTTTCCGCGGGAACAGGTGCATCGGCCTACTGTATACTACAGAAGAAAACTATTGATTTTCATTTACCCATAGAGTCGTGCCCCGTGTTCCACGAAGGACTACGAGGCGAAGCACCCCCGTCGCTTGGCACGGCCCGCTCGCGCGCCCTGTATTCGTGCAAGAAGACAATGGCCCCAATGGGTCAGTGAGCTTGCGGTGCCATCCGGAAACCGAACGCCGAAAATGAGCGAACGAACGACAATGAAAAAGCAAACAGTAATTTTTTCTAAATTTCCTTCTATTAATAGATTTTTTAAATTAAAATATATTAAGACTGAAATAATGAAATAAATTCAAAGGAATAAATAAGAAGCTAAACAGCCGTTGCTAGATGGTCGTGCTAGTGTATTCAAAGACAATAGATTTTTTTCTTTCTAAGAAACATATGTGTTCCATTGGGTATATATGAAAGAATTAAATTTCAAGGACGAACATTTGTCTCGAAAACGAACCTCACATGACAAATACTAGGAAAAATCAAGAAGTGAAAGGACTCTTCAAAGAGATTTGATTCCTCATATTCCTTTTTAATTTTCCTTATTATTTAATTGTGTTCTGATGTATAAATAAATAAATTAAAATTGATAAGCAAATAATTTCGATTTCTAAATTGTAACTATATTGTCTGATTTAGTAAAACGTATTCGTAAATACAAGTATAATTAATGACAAAAAGATAATTACAACATCTTTGAGCTATCAAGAGCTATTATCTAAAAGAAATATCAGTAAAAGCACACTCAATAAGATATTATCTAAAAAAAACTAACATTGGCGATGGAATCTATAAATGTAGAAAAAAACAAACAGATGTCACGTAGAAAAAAACAGATGTCACGTAGTTATTAAAGTATCCGACAACAGTTTCTACAAGACTTCTATTCGAAAAGAGAAACTTTGAGTATAGAAGAAAAGATTTACACGTGCTGCTCATATTAGCCCCGTTTTATTACTGCTGCATTTAATGGAGCCTAAGAAAGCGAGTGACGAAATAAAAAAGTTGACGAACCCATTGTCCAACTTTTTAGTTTTTCAGTCTTTTCGTCAGACCAAGAGGAAGAGAGAAACAAACAACAGAAAAGAGAAACAAGGTAATTTCATCAACGTAGCAATAAAAGAGAAAACATCTCTATGAAGATAAACAGATGTATCTCCGAGAAAAAATGGTATAATATGGTCAGATGTAAATATATATAATTAGTTATGAAAAGATAACATGTAATATTTTATATGATCATATAAAATTACATATGTTATCAGATTTTTTCATAACTAATTATATATATTTACATCTAACCAATTATACCATTTTTTATCGGATCCTCAGGCCAATTAGAAACTTTAATTAGTCATATTTTTATGTAAACGCATTTTTATGTAAAACAAACTCTTCAGAATCTATCGCACTTTTTTCAAATATGAACTAATACTTTCTTTTAAATAATATTTTCTCTGAAAAGAAATTGGATACTTATAATATTTTCTTTCCAAAGTAATTTACAATGAAATCAGTTCACACACCCTTTTCTATAATGACCGATTTAATTAACTCTGGCGATAGGAATTATCACGAACACGGTCGTTCGCCGTAGTTAATCTCAAAACCACGAATAAAATACTAGGCTAAGCCGCTGCGTAGCGATTTTAGCGATTGTAATATTAAGCACAGAAATATCCCGGTTATATACATGTATATTGAATGAGAATAGTGAATGCGCACCGATTGACAAAGTGGTCAATCAATAATTTCAATATGTGCTTATCAGAAACAAGGGATGTATGAAGAAAATTGTCAAATATTTGCGCAATTTACAAAGCGATTCACACCAAAATGGCATCAGCGTATAATTGCATAATTGCTGCAAGAATTAATTGCTAATAATTAATTCCTCTCTAAAATTTTTCGATCCAATTTTTTTCATAATTTTTGTATTTTGTTAAGAAGTTTATAATGTTCGTATATAAAATTTAACTACGCTTTTGCACCAAATTTGAATAAATCAAAGAAATCCTAATTATACAATGTATAATGCGATGCAAATTAGAGGTTAAGCATAACATTAACATTGACCATATCGCAATTTTGAAGAATATTTAAAACACTCACCATTCTGAATGGAATAATCCCACTCGTGTTTCGAACCCATCGCATACACAGAGAGAAGAAACACAATCCTATGGGAAATTCAAGTCCGCGAAGTTGAGATCCGAGTAAAGTTTACACCCGCTCGTTTTGTCTGTGCCGAAGACTTTGCGTTAAAATGAACGAACTCACGTTCCACGGTTATTGGCCGCTACATAAAAATTTCAGAAACGCGATTCACGAGTATCTCGGCAGCATTGACCGAATCTTGATACTCGTGAGAGATAAAAAGAAAACGCGACTTTGACGATTTTTCACAAACTTTGTTCTCAATGCATTTATTCGAGTGTAAAGAAGCTAGTTGAATTTTTACACGTTATGTATACTGAGCAATTAATAGTATTTACGCGATACTTCCTACGACGGCAAGTTGAATCTACTAGGGCTTCTACTAGGCCTTTGTTTTCCTTGAAGGAAATTCTTCCACGATCGAAAAACTGGTAAGTTACGCGTCCACTTCTACGGCCGTAATACCGGTCGGCCCATCGGCGCCGCTTTATATCGCGCGCGATCATGTGATCGTCCGAACAGCCGAGCTGCGCATGCGCTGGTAAATATTTACATGTGCGCACCGCACAGTGTGCGAGTCCAAAGCGAAAAAATCTGAATTTATAAAAGTATTCGTAAAAGAATATGATAAACATATAAACATTCAAAGAGAGAAAGAGAAAGATATATATATATATATATATATATACGAGGGTGTC